GGTGAGACAGGGTCTCTCTGTGTAACCTAGACTGCTGGCCTTAGACTCTTGTTCTCAGTGCTGTGATTATAGGTATGCAGTACCACCTCTGCCCCTTTTTTCCCTTTCCTCCTCCTTCTCTCCCTTCCCCCAGTCCTCCTCTCCTTTTCTCACTCTTCCTCCTTCCCCTCCTCTTCTTTCCCTCCTCCTCTCTTCCTCCTCCTCCCCTCTTCCTCCTCCTCCTCTTCCTCCTCTTCCTCCTCCTCTCTTCCTACTCCTCTTCCTCCTTTTCTTCCTCTTCCCTCTACCACCTCCTCCTCCTTTCTTCCCTTACAAAGTTAATCACCACCCTAGCTTCTGCTAGAGAGGCCATATCTCTGGTTTTGATTTGCATTTTCCTGATGGTCAGTTGTTGCCATACTTCTGGGCTGTTTAGGTACATTCTCCGGATAAACAGTTTATTCCACTCCTTTGCCCATTTCTCATTCTGTTGCCTTGTGCATGCTGCTATTCAGTAATATGAGTTCCAGGTGTGTTTTAATATTACTATCAGATAAATATGGCTTGCACATGCTTTCTGCCATTTTATTGGTTGTCTTTCGTTTTGCTGTTTTCTTTGCTGTGCAGAAATTTTTTAGTTTGATGGAATCCCACTTGTTTATTTTTGCTTTTGTTGCCTGTGCTGTTGAAATCATTGCTGAACAAATGCCTTAGCTTTTCCTCTTTTCTTCCAGGAATTTTACAGTTTCAGGTCTTACCTTTAAGACTTTACTCCATTTGAGTTGATGTTTGTGTATGATGTAAGGGTCTATTTCATCTTGTGCTTGTGACTATCCAGTTTTTGCTACTATTTACTGAGGAGTATAATATGTCCTTACTGTATGTTCTTGACTCTTGTTGAAAATTAGTTGACTTTTAACCCAGTGTGGTGGCACATGCTTTTTAATCCCAGCACTCGGGAGGCAGAGGCAGGCAGATCTCTATGAGATCAAGGCCAGCCTGTTCTATATAATGAGTTCTAGGCCAGCTGGGGCTACAGGAAGACCTTGTCTCAAAAAGACACACACACACACACACTATTCTGTTAATGATTATGGTTTGTTAGTTGGTTCAAATTATATTGTATAATAAGCACACTATAAAATGCAAAAAAAGAGAGCTCCATAAGCCAACAAAGAAGATCTGGAAGTAGATAGGGTAATTATCATACAGGGGATACAGTTTTGAGAAGTAGTGGGCACTGAGAAGGGCCTGGAGCTCAGCACTGGTGACTCCTGTGATCAGAATTTGCTGGATTTAGAGCAGTGTGGTTCTCACACTTTGTATGTCACAGTCACCTGGAGGGCTGGTTAAACCACACACTGTTGAGTCAAACCATATACAATAGTAGTGTTCAGACAAGATCCCAGGTGGCTGTGCAGCTGGTTTTGGAACCAGATTTAAGAATCCTGGGTTTAGAGGCTTACAAACAGTTCTGGTGTTTAGAGTCTACTGCCTACGAGGCAGTGAATGTAGGTGACAGGTTAGAGGCCCTTTTTAGGTTTTATGGAGAGTGCTGAGCTTTCCTTTGTCTGTTAGAAAGAACAATTAGAGTGTGGTATGAAGGCTGGGTCAGAGGTATGGCTATGTTGGCACCCAGAATACCAAATGAGCAGTTAAAAAATGTTTTGGAGGTGATTTATTTATTTTTGCCTTATGTGTCTGAATATTTTGCCTTTATGTAAATGCCAGAGGAGGCCAGAAGAGGGCATCCGATGCCCTGGAGCTGCAGTTAAGAACAGTTGTTAGTTGCCACGTGGGTACCAGGAACTGAACCTGGGTCCTCTATAAGAGCAGCCAATGCCTACCTGCTGAACCAGCTCTTCAGCCACCCCACCCCCCTTCAAATGAGGGTTTTAGAACAGCCATTCAGACCAAAAATACTTTCTAAAGAAATGGAATGAGGGTGAGAGCAGGGAAGCTGTGGCCGATTGGAAGCAGGAGAGGAGCAGAGAGGAGCCCCTGAGGCAGGGCTCAAGAGCACTAGGGAAGACCGGGAAGTGGGGCTGCAGCGGGAAGGGGACGAGGACTGGAGCAAACCAGGGAAAGCATGCTGACTTTGGGGTGCTAGCGGGACATCTGGGTGGATCTCCCCGTAGAAAGGTTTACCTGTGGGTCTGAAGGCCAGGAGCAAGGTCTAGGCAGTAGTCTAGCCCATTCTTTCAGGCACTTGCATGTGGCCTTCCGTGTTGTCTGTTTGGATCAGGCATTGTATCTGTAAAGAAGTCCCAGTAAGAAAGAAATGTGCTTTCTTGATGGAGGTGGGAGGAGAGTGGAAGTTCCAAACCCCGGGAGGGTTAAGCAGGCCGCTCGGTCTGACTGCCGGTGGAGCTGGAGCTCAGAAGTGCAAAGGGACCGAATCACTTGACTGCGCTGTGGGGCCATATGACTGAGCAGCTGAGTCTCATTAGCCGGATTGTGGCTTTCTACCGAGATGCCTGTTTTGGAAGGCTGCTGGGACAAACTGCTTTTCAAAAGATTGCTTTCCTAAGGCTGTTCTGTTTATTTCTCTTTGTCTTAACAACAGACAAAAGTTAACCCTGTAGAAGAGGAGATGCGATTGGAAGTCGCCAGTCGTTGACTGTTGGCAACTCCAGGCTGAAGTTTTAAAAAGTACAGCACACGGTTCTCCACACGGGCGAGTAAGTTTTTGCGTTTATTATTATTATTATTTTTTCTTGTAGTGATATTGAACTCTGCTATGCCAATTTCTAAACTGATACTAAAATGATGTGCAGTTTCTCAGAACATACCATTGTAGATGCTGTTACAGTTTTAAAATTAGAGATTGCTGTCTACTAGATTTCTTTGAATTATTTGAAAATGTGCATTTAATTTTTTAAAATTTATTTTTATTTTATATGTATGAGTGTTTTGCCTGCATGTAAGTGCCTGTGCATGCAATGCTTGGAGAGGTGTTGGATCCCTAGGAACTGGAGTTACGATGGTTGTTAGCTGCCGTGTGGGTGCTGGGAACTGAACCCGGGTCCTCTGTAAGAGCAGCCAGTGCTCTTAACTGCTGAGCCATCTCTCCAGCCCAGAAATGTGCATCTTTAAATATTTATTTATTTATTGTGTGCATACACATGTGTGCCACTGCACCCATGTGCCACAACATGCATGTCGAGGTTCCAGCAACTGGAACTCAGTTGTCAGCATGGTGACGAGTGTCTTTAACAACTGAGCCATCTTGCTAGCCCTGGAAATATGCATTGTTGTTGCTTTTGAAACAGGGTCTCATGTAGTCCACAAGGGTCTAGAATCCTGGTCCTCCTGCTTCTGTCTCTGAAATGTGCATTCTATTTATTTATTTATTCATTTATTTATTTATGTTGATTTTTAAAGATTTTATTTTTAGTTTAAATTATGTGTATATGTGTGTGTGAGAAGTTTGCCATGATATCCTGAAGAGGGCGTCACATCACCTAGAGCTAGAGTTATGGTTGGTTGTGAGCTGCCCAACATGGGTGCTAGGAACTGAGCTTAGTTCCTCTGAGCAGCAAGTGTTCTTAACCTCTGAGCCATCTCTTCAGCCCCCTAGGGGAGATTTTTAACATATCATTTCTTAGTATCAGTGGCTCAAGTGGTAACTGTTTCAAGGAGGATGAGAAATAGAAAAAGAGGCTGGAGGAAGGTAATACTGCCTTCTCCAGCGTGTGCTTTGATTAACTGGTCCGATGGGTAGTGTGTGATGATGGCAAAGCCCTAAATTTGACTCTAAGGAGATGCTGTCTGCAGGCTCTGGAGAGAAAGGCTGCTGCTGTGCAGGCAAAGGGATGTATCTCCCTTTCCTGACCAACCTTGTTCCTTTATGTACAGCAGATAAAGTGCCTCACAGTGGAGGGATGAGGTCTGGAAACAGTTTTACCAGAATATCAGGGACTTCCCAGCCCCTCTGTAATTCAGTTTGGCTGAGAACACACTGCTGTCATCTTGTTGTCTAGTGCACATTGAGCACACAGTGTGCCCCTCTTCTGTGATGGGTATGCAGAAGGGAACCTGTTGGATCTGTTCACTGATGACCACTTGGTTTCTAGTCTAAGGACTGAAGTAAACATGAGCTACAGAAAACAAGTGTTGGGTTGTTTTAATTTTTTGCTTTGTTTTGCTTTGTATGTTTGAGACAGAATTTTCTATAGCTCAGAGTGGTCTGAAACTCATTATGTAGCTATGGGTGAACTTGTAGTCCCAATGCTCTGCCTCTCAAGAGCTGTGACTACAGGTGTGTGAGCCACACCTGGCTGTGGGATGATTTTTAAGCATTTTTCTGTGATGTGGCTTTTCCGATACCTCACACCCACCTGTTCCAATCCAATTTAGTATCTTTATCTTCCAAGATGCTGATGCTGACCTCCACATGCTGTATGCTTGCCCCAACCCTCTCCCTTCTCTTACCTCACGTGTCCTGTTCTGTCAGATGTGTCATTTTGCTTTCCTGGACACTCAACCTTCATTGTTTGGAGTTGTCTTTGTCATATCTGTTTCTAGATAATGTGGTACTATGTTCTAATTTGTTTTTTAACTTTTTGAGACAGTCTCCCTGCAGCCCCAGCTGGCCTGGAACTCACTATATAGACCAGGCTGGCCTCAGTTTCACAGAGATCTGCCTGCCTCTGCCTCTGCCTTCTGATGCTGGGATTAAAGATGTGCACCAACATGCCTGGCATTATGTTCTAATTTTTTTTCCTCTTTTTGAGACAGGGTCTCCCTGTAGCCCCAGCTGGCCTGGAACTCACTATATAGACCAGGCTGGCCTCAGTTTCACAGAGATCTGCCTGCCTCTGCCTCTGCCTTCTGATGCTGGGATTAAAGATGTGCACCAACATGCCTGGCATTATGTTCTAATTTTTTTTCCTCTTTTTGAGACAGGGTCTCCCTGTAGCCCCAGCTGGCCTGGAACTCACTATGTAGACCAGGCTGGCCTCAAACTCACAGACATCCACCTGTCTCTGCCTCCCGAGTGCTGGGACTAAAGGCGTGCACCACCATGCCTGGCTATGTTCTAATTTTTTAAAGGTTATTATTAATGTGTTTGTGTCTGTATGAATGAATGCCAAGTGTGTGCTGTTACCTTTAGAGGACAGAAAAGGTTGTTCAGATCCCTTAGAGCTGGAGTAACATGCAACTGTGAGCTGCCCAATATGTGGGTGTTGGGAACCAAACCCCCTCTTCTGCAAGAGCAACAAGTACTCTTAATTGCTGAGCCATCCTCCCAGCCCTATTTATTTATTTATTTATTATTCCATTTATTTTTATGTGTTTATGTGTGTGTATATGTATGGGCGAGTGTGCATGCTGTGATGAACATGTGGAGACCAGAAGACAACTTGCAGGAGTCATTTCTCTCTTCTACCATGTGGGTCCCTGGGATTGAACTCATGTTGTTGGGCTTCATTGCAAGTACCTTTGTCTGCCTAGCCATCTCACCAGCCCGGGCTTCTGTTATTTTTAAGTTGGTGCCTGTGGGCTCCTTTCCTTCATAGTCCCATCATGCTGGTCCTGCCTAGGAGTGAGAGCTGAAGCCAGGGCATGCTGTTAGCATGACCCCATTTAAATTTCTCATGACTAAACTCTGAACTTTGAACCTAGAATCTCAGAGCACCAAGTGTCCTGGGAAAAGACCAGGAAATTCAAACCTTATTTCATCCTTGAACAGACAAGGCCCAGAGAGGGTTGACACCCAAGCTGAATCAGATTCAGATGATGTTGGTGGAATCAGGACCCACATACCAAGTCACTTGTCCAGTCCCATTCCTTATGAGCATTCTTTGGGGATAAAGCCAATTTCTACTGGTATTTGCATATCTCTACATGTCTATATATTTTGAAGGGAAGGATTATATCTTATTCACATTTGTATCCTTGAGGTGATTAGCAAGGGCTGCTCAGTACTTGTTAAACTGAAGTCACCTGAGGCTGTAGAACACTTGCCTAGCATATCTAGGCTCCAGGTTTGACCTACAGCTCTGCAAACCAACAAAGCATCAGAAAGCCATGCCTGTGCATCTAGCAAACTTTCCTTCCCATGCCTTACCATCTAGCTCTACTCTTCCCGACTTTGACATATATCTATTAGTGGATTTGGTGACTCTATCAAGAAAAGGCAAATTGCAAACATAGTTTAGTCATCAAAGTTCTGGTATTTCTACAGCATCTTGCTCATCTGTGGGAAAAAGAACAAGAAGGTGTGAAATGAGGTGGTTCAGGAAGAGCGAAAAGCACAACCCAGCCCAGATGACGCATGGAATTAACTAGCTGTGTTCTCTTCACTTAATAACCACCAGAGCTCAGCACTGAGGCCCTACTGACTACCCATGGTAGAGAAAAGGGAAGGGATGTTGTCAGAGATTCGTCTGTGCTGATCCGTGTGCCTTGTCTCATGACCCCAGGAATTAACAGTGTGCTCATGAACTAAGTCAAATGCAGCCCCACCTAGTCCACGTGCACCAGGGTCTCATACACCGCTTCCTGCCGAGTATTCCCTTAACCAATTTCATGAACACTACCTTGGTTACATGACACTTTTTTTTTGGTCTTTTTGAGACAGGGTCTCCCTGTAGCCCCAGCTGTCCTGGAACTCACTATGTAAACCAGGCTGGCCTCAAACTCACAGAGATCTGCCTGCCTCTGCCTCCTGAGTGCTGGGACCAAAGGCGTGTGCCACCATGCTGGGCTAAGTTACATGACACTTTTAAAGGGCCCGATTCCCATCTCAGAATCTCTCTTCTCTCCAGGGAAGTTGCATGGGCTTCTGTACTGTGCCTCACTAGACAGACTACCTGCCAGATGCCACTCAAATGCTAATTGTGTCTGCCATCTGGTTTCCTCTAGCAGCTTCTTCCTTTCTGTCCCCTGCTGATTTCATTCAGGAGCTGCAAAAATATGTCCTGGGGCTCCATTGATACACGCTTACAGCTTCACTGTATTTGATAAGCAACTGCTATGTGTCAAGCATTGTGTGCCCACTGTGGCTGATATTTTTATGTGGTATAAATACATACAGCAAAGACCTAACAGGAATAACATTTATAACAGGCAAGTGTTTCTTGGTGTCAAACACATAATTCACAGGTTTTACAACTGAATTTGTTACAGGGGGAAGGCAACTTCATACTTTAAAATGTGGGTGTATGGGGTTGGCCAGATGGTTCATCAGTTAAAGGCACTGGCTGCTCTTGCAGAGAACTTGGGATTTAGATTCCAGCACCCATTTGGTGGTTAACAACCACTTGTCACTCCAGTTCCAGGGGATCCCATTCCCTCTTCTCCACAGAATTGTTCTCGTACCTCCACGTGTGCACCATGGCACACATGCCTACGTATACATCATGCACACACACAATGATGAATTAAAAATGTGGACAATAATAAATCAAAAACATGCCTCTGGGTGTGGTGGCGCATGCCTTTAATCCCAGCACTTGGAAGGCAGAGGCAGGCGGACCTCTGTTGATGGAGGCCAGCCTGGTCTACATAGTGAGTTCCAGGCCATTTGGAGCTATAGGGAGACCCCGTCTCAAAAAACAAAAAAACCCCAAATAAACAGACAAGGGGGAAAAAAAAAAAACCTCAAACAAAACATACTTGCAGAATTGTAAGATTGATTTTAATATATGACTCCTAAAATCTCCTTCAGTATTTT